TTTGGTCGTGCTAGGACTGGCCACAGTGGCACTGGAGCAGCGGCACCGGAGCAGCGGCACCGGAGCAGCAGAACCGGAGCATGCGGACAGCATCGAACCGTGGCGCACGGACAAACATGTCTTGTGTTGTTGTTGTTGTCTTCACATTAAAAACCATCCCGGTCTCTCTATCCAGTACCTCCTTCTGTCTCAATCTCTCCGTACTAATCCATCACTTGACTCGGCCAATTTCCGTGGTCACAGGCTAACGTACCTAGAAAAGGTATACCAAAATAAAATGGACCCCAAGGGTCAGCAGAGCGATAAAATACAAGAAAACAAAATATAATCAGAAACAAATAAAATAAAATAAAATAAATAATTAGACTAGTGGAACGGCCGCACCACCAGCCTGGGGGGGTAGCCTCCCACTACATGGAGGCAGGTCGACGGCCAAAGGAAGGGGCCGGGGTACGTGCCAGTAAAAAACAAAACAAAAGACAAAATAAAACAGAATAAAGCAAAGACGAGGACACAAGCAAACTCGCACAGAGACAGGGATATCCCTAGAGACAGTCTGAACGCGACAGCAAACGGGGGAGAGGGCAACAGAAAAATTAGTCGTTGAAATTCGACCGCAACATGTCACGTCACGCGGTCGGTCTCTTCTCGCTTGCTTTCTTCCCGCCGCGCCGTTTCCTTCCGCCCCCCTACCGCCCCGTTGATTGGTGCCGTATCTAGACTATTTTTGGGCCCGCTGTCTCCTCGTTTGATGGCTCGTTGTCGGCTGGCCTCCTCCTTGCCCTTGTGCCAAGAGGCCATGAACCTCTCAGCTCCCTGTAGCACCCCCGCGTGCCACGGTACCCCCCCCTCCACCTTCGCCGCCTCGTCCCAGTCTGGCTTCGGGATTCCGAAGAAGCTCCGCTTGTCGGGCGTGGAGCCGTGTCTGGCTTCGAACATCTTCAGGTCGTCCTTCAGGCATATCAGCCAGTTCTGCTCCGGGCTTCCCCGGCCCGGGTTCTCCCCTCCCACCAACTCGCCGAACATCAGCCGTTTCGGAAGCCGCCCGTCCGGCTGTCTTGCCACGGCCCCCGCAAAGAGCAGGCGCCGTTGACGGACAGTGGCCTCCACGCTCTGGCAGCCGACCCTCTTTAGCGCCTGGGCGTATGACAGCTGCCGGTAGGTGCCTCGTTTGCGCCGGTAGCCGATGACTCGCAGGAGTAGCCGGTGGTGTGTCGTCTGCAGCATTCCGTAGTGGTTGCGGCGTGGGGACCATGTCATGCAGCCGTATAGCAGTGCCTCCACTGCCTCCGCCTGGAGCAGGCGGGCTTTGAGGCGAAACGGTGCTCCCGGTCGGTCGAAGAGCTCCGTGGCGTATCGCTTAATGCACGCCCACGCTGCTTTGCTCCTGTGGTTGATCTCTCGGGTGAGGTCGCCCTGCTCGTTGACGAGGCCGCCCAGGTATCGGAACTCGGTCGTCTGTGCGTACCTTTGCCCCGCTGCTTCGATGGTCAGCACCGGCGGTGGCGGCGGCGGCGGTCGCTGTCTCTCCTTCACCCGCATCACCAGGGTCTCCGTCTTCCTCTCCGACACCGTCAGCCCGAACTCCCGGAACACCTCCACGATAATGGTCATCATCCTCGCCAGGCCGTCGGCGGACTTCGACACAACGCCGGCATCGTCGGCATATAGCATCCCCCACACCGCCCTCCGGACTCGGTCCAGCAATCCCCCCCCCCTCCGTTCCTCCTCCTTCAAGTACACTAGGTCCCGCACGATAACCTCATCTTGGCTGAACCGTGTGACAATGATCTCGAGAGGCGCTGCGAAGAAGACGTTGAACAGCAGTGGGGACATTGAGCACCCTTGTCGTAATCCCTGCGTGACCGGGAACCAGTCCGATAGCTCCCCATCGTCCGTGCGGACCCGGGCCCGCATTCCGACGTGGAACTTGCGGATGACGGCGATCATCTCCCCGGGGATCCCGGCCCGGGCCAGCACCTTCCACAGTAGCTCCCGGTCCACCGAGTCATATGCCTTCTGCAGATCGATGAAGCACATGTAGAGCGGGATTCTCCTCCTCCGCCCCAGCTCCTGGAGTCGGCGCACAACGAACAGCATGCATACCGTGGATCGGCCAGGCCGGAACCCGCACTGTTCCTCCGGGAGGATTTCGTTGGCTTCGCAGAATGCGCTCAGGCGGTTGGTGATGGTCTTGGCGAGTACTTTGCCTACATGCGAGAGCAGCGAGATGCCCCTGTAGTTGTTGCAGTTCGAACGGTCACCCTTCTTGTACAGCACCTTAATGATGGCATCCTTCCACTCCTGCGGCATCTCTCCCCCATTCCACACTTCGACGAAGATGGCACGGAGGCGCTCCAGTACAACTGGCTCGTCGTCGCCGTCGACCTTGAGCAGTTCGGCGGCAAGGAGGTCGGGACCAACCGCCTTCCAGTTCCCCAGGCCTTTCGTCGCCGCCTCAACCTCCTCGAGGTCTGGTACCGCCGCCAGGTGTCGGGTGGCGCGCGTCGCTGGTCGCTGCATCACCTGTTCGACAACGTCTGGGTTCAGAGTGGGGGACTTGGAGTTCAGGAGGGTATTGAAGAATCTCCGCCACCGCTTGAGGATGGCATCCTTGTTCCGGAGTAGCACGCCGTTCTCGTCTGTAACGAACTGCTGCCCCCCAGCTTGTCTCCCGCTGAGGCCCGTTGACCGCTTGAGGTGTTGGTACAGCCCCCGCATGTCGCGGTCCTGGTAGATCGCTTCGAGCTCCGTCACGTATCTTTCCAGGTGGTCGTAGATGCTCGTTGCGATTGTTGCCTTCACCCCCTTGCACGTTGCTTTGAGGATCCTCCACGTTGCTGCGTTCGGTCCGGCCTTGAAGGAATGTCGCGCAGCCCGTCGCTTGTCAAGGGCGGTCGCCAGGGCTGTCCGTGCCGCGGTGGTCATGTTCCATTCCGTGGTGCGCCGCCTCCGGGGTTCCTCAGACAGCTCCGTCTCCGCCGCGCCG